GACACGCCGAACGTTCGACACAGGACAAAATAGAAACCGCGCACAACAAAATAGAAACCGCGCGCGAGACACAAACGACCGCGTAACACGCGTCTAGCGATAACTCGCTATTGACTCGACACACACACTCGACATCATGACTCCACATTCACACAAAATTATAAGCATGAAATATATATTATCCCATGCCCTCATACCATTCCATACACACACACATTCACGCACACGGACAACAAGCCGAGTGCAAACCGTAGGGTTGCACCAACAAACTCCCCCTCGGATTGTTGGCCTTAGGATATGTTGCTCTCTCAGTTCAGAGCCATCCCAGCCAGCTTGCAACACTTCCAATGCTGCTGCTCCACCAGCCTCTTGGTCATCATGTCAGCCGGCTGCCCCGTGGTCTTCACGTAGCGCAACTCAACTTCACCCGCGGTTACCATGCTCCTCGTCCAATGCCACTTCACCCTCATGTGCTTCGTGAGTCCATGCAACACAGGGTTCTTAGCAAGAGCAATGGCACCCTGGCTGTCACAGTACAGTGGGGTAGGTCCTTGCTGCTCCTCCCCCAATTCAGCCAACAAACGCCGCTGCCACACAATCTCCCGTACGGCACGGAAGAGTGCCATGTACTCGGACTCCACCGAGCTCAAAGCTTGGTCAACCTGCTTCTTGCTCTACCTAGCAGTTGGGCCTCCACCAACACAGCATGAACAAGGAGTGATCGGCCGTTGAGGGAGTGGAGCCGATCCCCTCCAACACTTCGCGCAGCTTCATGTACCATTGCCTAGGGGCCTGCTTCAGCCCATAGAGGGCCTTCTTCAGCTTCCACACTCTGCCACTACCATCATCAAACCCCTCTGGCTGCGCCATAAAAATCTCCTCCTCAAGGATGCCGTTAAGGAATGCCGTTACGATGTCCATTTGCTTTACTACCCATCCTTTGATGGCGGCTCCCGCGAATAGGGTTCGCAGCGTCGTCGGCTTCACCACAGGGGCAAACAGCTCCTTGAAGTCCACCTTCTCCTTCTGCTGGTACCCCTTGGCTACAAGCCTAGACTTGTAGCGCTCGATCTTGCCGTCGGATCTTGTTGCCGCTCCACCATCGGGAACCAATCCGTCTTCAACGTTTCAGCCACGTCGCTCTTCTTGGCCAGCACGTACACCCAAGTCATGCGGGTGTAGACGTCGACAATGGTGAGAAAATACTCAGCTCCAGCAGCTCCAAGCTTCAGGGGGCCCACCACGTCCATCACCACCTCATCAAGCGGTGCCTTTGCCGTTGCCTCCGAACTAGGGAACGGAAACCGGGTGAACTTGGCTTGAATGCACGTCGGGCAGCCAAGCACCTCATCGGGCTCCCCCTTCACACGTATGCCAGCAACCATCTCATTCTTCACTAGCTGCTGCAAGATGGGCAGGGCCACATGCCCCATGCGCCGATGCAAGGTGAGCCAATCACACTTCCCCGTAGCCGAAGTTGGATTGGAGAATGCCGCGCTCGCAATAGCGCCCCACATACTCTCTCCGTAGTCCTCCTCCGCTGCTGCCTCTGGGTTCTCCTCACCCTTTTGCTGCTCCTTGGTTGCTGCACCACTCTCCTTAGGTTCACTGAACTTGCTGGTCCCTCCAGGTTTGCTCTTCTTGAGCTCATTCTCCTTAGCGCGACCGTTCGCGCCATCGTCGCTACCGACCGCTCCATCCTTGGTGCTGATGCTTGCTGCCACTTGCCTCTCCTTAGGCATAGGGACCACTGGGATCTGCCACATCTCGTTGTAGACATCCCTGTCTTCATGAAGGTCCCAAAGAATTCGATCGCCAAGCCTTGCGGTGTAGGTCTTGGCTCCCTTCGAGTTCGTGTCCATGCCGGCCTTTGCCAACCGCCGCACGGAAATCAGGTTTGCAGCAAGGCTGGGCACCCAAAGCACGTTCTTGAGGCCCACCATCTTCCCATCAGCACCCTTGAACATGGCCTTGCCCATGCCTTTCACCTCTGCTCGCTGCCCCAAAGCCGATGTGACATGCTTCACCGGTGACGGCTCGAGTTCGGTGAGCAAGTCCGGGCGAGGTGTCATGCTATAGGTAGCGCCACTATCAATCACCCAATAGTCCAGGGGGTGTAGGGTCACCTTCCCCACAGCTGCTGGCTCCTCAAAGCCTTCATCCTTCTCTGGACCAGCCGGTACTTGCGTCGACACGAAGTAGAATAGACCCGGGTATCGATCGTCGCTCGGGTCCTTGTCGTTGTCTCCGCTCTTCATGTTTGCAGCTCCGCCACCGCGACCGCCACGGCCTCCACGGCCTCGTCCTCTCCCTCCTCCTGCTCCTCTACCCTCTTGGCCTTGAGCAGGGGTCCAACCATCAGGGAGTTTGTAGCAGTCGCGTCACATGTGTCCGCTCTTGTGGCAATAGTGACACTCGCCGTCGAATCGGCCGCGACCGCGTCCGTAGCTCTTGTCGTCGCTGCCGTAACCGCCACTCCTGCGGCCTCCGCCGAAGTTGCTGCCACCAAACCTTCCTCCCCCTCGTCCTCTGCCTCTTCCTCGACCATATCCACGGCCGATGCTCGCTGCCCCAGCGCCATCCGCACTCGCCAACTCACGGCGGCGGAAATCCTCTTGAAGGATAGCTCGCTTCACGTCTTCAAGCGAGAGGCGGGGCAAGTCGCGATTAAGGTTGATGATGAGCGAGGACCATGACTCTGGGAGTAAGGCCAGCAACTTGGTCTTCTTTTGGAGCTCACTGTAGTTCAAATCAGCTCCCTCAAGCCGCGTCAACAAGTCGAAGAATTTCTGCACCCCTTCTTCAACCGCTTCGTCTTCTTCAATTCGAAGTGCCGCCATTTGCCGTTCCAACACCACCGCTACCGCCGCTGTTGCAGGAGCATGTACACCCTTGAGAGCAGCCCATGCCTTTGGTCCTTTCTCTGGTTCACGCTGGAATGGCTTGATGTGACGGATCTGACTGCTCCCCAACGCTTGCCCAAGTAAGAGATAGCCTTGTGCGCTCTTCCGCACCCACGGGCTCTTCTCCGGGTCGTTCTCGGGGCGCTTCTCCGTTCCTTCCATCACCTCCAGCAGGTCATAGTGGTCAAAGATGTTCTCCATCTTGAAGGACCATTCAGCAAAGTTGTCACCGTTGAACTTGTCAAGCCCAAACACCCTAGGCTCATCCCTAGGTGGGCCAAGACTTGGTTGCATGGGCGCCATGGCTGAATCACGGGGTTGGCCTTGAGCTTGAGCTTCTCCACTGCCACCAGCACCTCTGCCACCCCTTTCCTCAGGTCCAGACATTGTCGAAACTGCTCCAAGGGGCTCTGATACCACTTGTTATAGTCACAATAGGCTTGAATGTGCCTAAAACGAAAGATAGAGAGCACAGACGGATTTCTGCACAGCGGCTTCAAACGTTGATAGCGTTCTGCTCACAACTGCAAATGACTTGATTCAAATTGGATATGGAGCGTTTTCACGTCGTCTACAATTAGCAATTTAGATTGCACGATTTGATAAAGAATTGACGACACAGCGTCGGTTTGAACGAACGGTACTATGGCAGCCACTATAGTCTTAGAACACAAGATAGGAAGAGTTAGCAAGAGTTACGAGTTGGGAATGACTCCCAGCTCCTACAAACCCCAAGAGCCGAGGTACAGTGATGTGGAACAGTGCCACACTGTCCCCAACCACGAAGGGTCTCGAAACTACCCTTCACTAGGGCCTACACCAAGTGAAATGTTACACTACACAAAGTAATGTAACTATCTTCAATATCTTGAGGTGTACCCTTTTGGCAAGCTTCGAAATCACTTGAGGCTTGACACCAAGGCTCGGGCTCTTCATCACAAACTCATCCTTGAGTTCTTGATGGGTCTGCTGCACACACCTGCGACACGCCGAACGTTCGACACAGGACAAAATAGAAACCGCGCACGACAAAAATAGAAACCGCGCGCGAGACACAAACGACCGCGTAACACGCGTCTAGCGATAACTCGCTATTGACTCGACACACACACTCGACATCATGACTCAACATTCACACACAATTATAAGCATGAAATATATATTATCCCATGCCCTCATACCATTCCATACACACACACATTCACGCACACGGACAACAAGCCGAGTGCAAACCGTAGGGTTGCACCAACATGCCCGACGTACTGCACAAGTAGCGCAACACCCTCTTAGCTGCATCCATGTGCTTAGGTCGGTGTCTCCCAGGAGCAACATAGCGTGCCAAGATGCTAAGAGGGTATTCCAGGTCAGGTCGAGTGTAGGTCATCAGGTATATGAGGCAGCCAACAAGCTCTGGGTACAGGCCACTCGGCTCTACGGACTCATCTCAAGGCAGAGCTGAGAGCGAGTGGCGAGTAGACAGAGGAGTGGCCTGAGGCGAGGAGTACGTGAAGTTGAAGCGCTGAAGGACCTGCTGCACCATGTGTGACTGAGTCAAGGTAATGGTGCACCGTGCTCTGTCCCGGGTGATCTGCAAGCCAAGATAGCTGCGCAGTTCACCCAGGTCTGTGCACGTGTTTCTCTTCTGCAGCTCCGACTTCACGTGGCCAACGCGACTGTGCGGTGCTGCGCTTGGGAAGCTTTGGTTTCCCGCCCATGATTGACGGTGTTAGTGCTACACGCCGCCAGGCTGGCGGAAATCCCTGTATTAACGATTTCAGAGTGCACCCCCGATACAAGGCTGAGGGCTCAGCCTACACTCATAAAATTAGGCTGAAATTTCAGCCAAGTCATAAAAAACTCTGAAAGTCAGACAAGGTACATAAAGAAAAACTTTGAGTTCAGGCTAGGTACCAAAAAAAAGCCTGAACGAACTCTGAATCAGAGTAAAAAGCCTGATATCTAGGGCACTGCAACCTAGCCTACTAAGTACATATGCAAAACATTTATGTGTACGCTGACTGACACCTATAACCATCTTATCCTGAGGGCCGAGGATTACAGAGTATTCCCTTACAAAATAATTCACTATCAATAACTTTATTGATAACCATGCGTTCTCCTCCTCCTTCGCTCACCTGCCTTCTCCCTGCCCTCACCTGCCTTCTCCCTGCCCTCACCTCCCTTCTCCCTGTCCTCACCTCCATTCTCTCTGCCCTCACCTCCCTTCTCCCTGCCATCACCTGCCTTCTCCCTGCCCTCACCTCCCTTCTCCCTGCTCCCACCTGCCTTCTCCCTGCCCCCACCTTCTTCCTCCCTGGCCTTGTCCCCCGTTGCCCGCCTCTCCCTCCTCGCCTCTTCACCCCTCTCCTCCACACCTTCCTCCTTTCGTTCATCCCCTCGATAATCATCTCTAAGCCCCTCCTCCCTTGCTCCACCCTTCTCACCACTCGCCTCCTCCGCATGCTGCTGCCGCACACCACTGCTCTCCTCACCTCCCCCTCCACTGCCCTTGTCAGACATGTTCTCTTCTTCCAGCCCCTCCCCCTTCCCCTCCCCATCCACACCCTCCTCTTTCAGCGGCTCACCATCAGCCGCTGCTACCTTCTCTTCCTTCACCCGCACTTCACTAGTCCCTTCTTTCATCTCGACCCTCTCCTCTTCCTCATCCTCAACTGAGTTCATCCTCTGATCATCAGAATCCGACCCTGCACCCTCCTCTCCCTTCATTGCCTTTACCCCTTCCACCACCTCACCTCCCCCCATCACCTCACCTCCCTCCCCCCCTTCAACCCCCACTGCTTCTCCTCCCCCCAATGCCTGCCCCTCATCACCACCCTGGGGCAGCATGAGCCTATCAGCTTCTGCCAGGTGGCGCTGCAGCGAGTCCGCCACCAGCTGCTGCACCTCGCGCTCCTGCTGCTGCTGCCACTCCTCCAAGCTCTGCGACAGGGAGAAGGGAGATGAGAGTTGGAAGGGAGGCAAGAAGGAGCAGGGAAGAAGGAGCAGGGAAGAAGGAGCAGGGAAGAAGGCGCGCATGCAGAGAAGAATAAGCTCAGTGGCAAAGTGAGGGCCACAGCAGCACAACGGCGAGGCAGGCAGGCAAAGAGGGGGCAGAGAAGAGCAGCAAGCTGGCATGGCAATGAGGTGAGAAAAGACAAGGAATGCGCACCGGGAACAGAGAAACGAACACCATGCCAAATCATGACGTATGAAACAAGAGGATGAGGAATAAGGTAGGTGTTAGGAGAAACATGCTTGAAATGGAGGATGCAAGAAATGAGACAAGTGCCGGAGCGTATGAGATCAGCAGCACCAACACCAGCAGAAGCAGCGGCAGTGGTAGTAGGAGAAAGGGAGAAGATGTGGAAAATTAATCAGATGCATCATATACAAGCCCAAAATCATGGTCATTGGCCAGGTGACTCTAAGTCTGCTAAAAGAACCGCTGCCAAGACCTGGTGCACCTGCCCACCTAAACGTTGAGTCAGGGTGTTGGAGGACACGGGCGACCAGAAGTTGGGAAGTTGTTGTTAGAATCCTATGTTCTAGCATGCTAACACTTGTGACTGTACATCAATTGTGGTGTACAGTTGGGTTGGGACTACACCCAACTTTGGGTGTAGTCTTGCATTTTGGGGTGCCAATCCAACCCAATTGTGGTGGAGCCCCCAAATGCAACCCACTTGGCCTCAAGATGCCTCACTTCCCAAAAGTGAGGCCAACCCAACCCAAGTGGGCTTGAGGTTGCCCCACTTCCCACAAAGTGTGGTCAACCCAACCCTTCTTCTCCAACCTTCTCATCCAACCTATGTATGCTTGTTTCCTCTCTAATCGAATCACTTATTCTTTTTCAATTCTTCACAGTTGTGAGTGCATCTAGGGAAGCGGCTTGTAAATCAGTTGCAGCTCATTCCCTAATTGCGGGAGTTTTGTGATTGGAGTTCGGATTGGTCCAGAGTGACGTGGAGGGGAGTTGAGTGAGACAAAAAGGAGGTGATTGAATCACCTGACACTGGTGATGACAGACCGAGTTAGTATAATCCTCATAATGGTTAGGAGACGCGGTTCCAAAAGTGGTCTGTCACTTGGCTGCTACTAATTGCTTGATTCTCACTGCTACCCATCATGTATTCTGCCTTATGCACCCTGATTCACTAGTAAAGCTGGTGAATCAGCAGCCATACTATAAGAACACCGAAAACCGACTGCTTGCCGGGTCACCGTTTTGGGCTTGTATTTGACACATCTGTTGTTGTTCAAATGAGCTCAGCTGGCTTTCAGATGTTTGTATCTGCTCCCTTTCCCTGCTAATGCCACTCCTACCACTGCTTCTGCTTCGGATGTTAAAGCTGGACCCATCTACTCCGGCACTTGTTGCATCGAAACCACTTCACTCTGCAAGCCACTGAGCCCATTCCACCCTGCATCCCACCGTGCTCACCTGCGCTTGTGCCTGCAGCAGCTTGTCAGTGGCTGGCGAGGGGCGCGCTGGCACATACATGATGGGCGGCGAGGCCTGCGTGCTGCACACGAGGGCGTGGGGGGAATGGGGATGTGAGGGGCGGGCCGGTAGGTACATGAAGGGCGGCCACGCCTGCGTGCTGCAGGCGGGGGCGAGGGGAACGAGGAGATAAGGGGGATGTGGTGGGTGGACAAGGAGGAGAGAGGGGATGAGGAGGAGAGGGGGAGTTGAGGAGGAAGGGTGACGAGGGGAGGCAGAGAGGGTAGAGAGCATAGAGAGGGGACACGTGATGAGGGGACTAGCGTTGGTGGCATGCGGAGAGGTGCGCAACGAGGCATGGTGATGAAGGTGCAAAAAAACCCGATAACGGCAACACACCCTGCACGGCACACATAGACACGGCACACATAGACACGGCACACATAGACACGGCACACATAGACACGGCACACATAGACACGGCACACATAGACACGGCACACATAGACACGGCACACATAGACACGGCACACATAGACACGGCACACATAGACACGGCACACATAGACACGGCACACATAGACACGGCACACATAGACACGGCACACATAGACACGGCACACATAGACACGGCACACATAGACACGGCACACATAGACACGGCACACATAGATTGTATGCTCCCTCCCTTCATCCTTCCCTCCCACCCTCCATCCCCTTCTCACACCCATCTCCCTGTGAAGCGAAGCGTCTTACCGGATGAAGAGGGAGAGCAGAGAGCGGTGGCGGTGCCAGTGACATGGCGAGCCAGCAGCACCTCCTTCTCCGCCTCCCACCCCTCCATCCCCTCCTCCCACGCCCACCTTCAACCTCTGCATCTTACCGAATGAAGCCGGAGAGCCGAGAGCGGTGGCGGTGCCATTGCCGTGCCAGCAGGTGCACCTCCTTCTCCTCTGCCTTCGCCATCAGCCGCGCCCTCAGCACCTGATGTGGTGCCATAAGGCAGGGGAGGTGAGATGCGCGTAGGTAGGCGTGGGGCAGGTGAGGTAGGCGTGGGGCAGGTGAGGTGATGTGACGTGAGGCGAGGAGCGGCGATGCAAAGCGGGCAGATGAGGGGGTCGTGGTGGGTGGGCGTGGCATGGATGAGACATGCAGGCGAGGAAGAGACGAAGAGACGCTGAGCATGCGTTGCGGACGGTGGTTTTGCGAGGGAAGTGGAATGATGGGCTTCGGGGCATGAAGTGATGCGCAAATGAAGTGATGAGCACATGAAGTGACGAGAAAATGGAGAACCAAATACGCAGGGTCAAGAAGCATAGGTGCAGAGAGGTGCAAGGGGTGCAAGGGGTGCAGAGGGGTGCAGATGGGTGCAGAGATGAGTGTGCGGATTGCAGAGGGGGTGCAGAGGGGTGCAAGGGCACGCAAGAGGCAAGTGTGGGTGCAGGGGGAAGGGCGCACAAGGTCTCTCTTGCGCTGCTGCAGGATCCTCTCCCGCTCCTGCTCCTTCAGCCGCTCACTCTGCTCTGCCACTCGCTGCTCCGCCTGCTCATCAGATCCACAGGCACACAGAGAAGCTCACAGAGAAGCACACAGAGCAACACACAGAGAAGCACACAGAGAAGCATACAGAGAAGCATACAGAGAAGCATACAGAGCAGCATACAGAGAAGCATACAGAGAAGCATACAGAGAAGCATACAGAGAACCATACAGAGCAGCATACAGAGAAGCATACAGAGCAGCATACAGAGCAGCATAAAGAGCAGCATACAGAGAAACATACCGAGAAGCATACAGAGAAGCACACAGAGAAGCATGCAGAGAAGCATACAGAGCAGCATACAGAGCAGCATACAGAGCAGCATACAGAGCAGCATACCCAGCAGCATACCCAGCAGCACAGGAAGAGGAAAGAAATGATGCCATCAAGCTTTAAGTCATCCTTGCAGCAAACTTTTGGTAAATGACATGCCATCTACGACATGCAATCTACGACATGCAATCTATGACATACAATCTATGACATACAATCTACGACATACAATCTACGACATGCAATCTACGACATGCAATCTATGACATACAATCTATGACATACAATCTACGACATACAATCTACGACATACAATCTACGACATGCAATCTACGACATGCATTTACATATTCCACTGTGGCCCCATCACCCCCAGCACCCTCGTCACCCGTGCCGGCCCACCTTCTGTTGGATCAACGCCCTCCGTGCAGCAGCTCCACATCCCTCTCCTCCTCTCGCGCCCTCTGCCAGCCAGGTAAAACACCCCCAGCGGCCCAATCAATGCCAGCGCCCCAATCAACCCCAGCGCCCCCAGCGCCCCCAGCACCCTCGTCACCTGTGCTGGCCCACCTTCTGTTGGATCAACGCCCTCCGCGCCAGCAGCTCTGCATCCCTCTCCTCCTCCTCCCGCGCACGCTGTTAGCCGAGGGAAACGGGGGGAGGGGCGAACGGAGTGTGTCAGAGAGAGGGAGGAAAACCCAAGGGAAAAGGAAAAAGGACAAAATCGAAGAGGAGTGGTTAGAAGGCGCGGTAGGGGGATCCTGATGCGAGTGATTGTTGATCGAAGTGAGTAATTGTTGATCGAAGTGAGTTATTGTTGATCGAAGTGAGTTATTGTTGATCGAAGTGAGTTATTGTTGATCGAAGTGAGTTATTGTTGATCGAAGTGAGTTATTGTTGATCGAAGTGAGTTATTGTTGACAAGAGCAAGTGGGCGGCCAACTGTCTGTCACCGGTCACCTGTGCACTCCCAAATCTCTCTCCCATCCCACCTGCAGCGTGCCAACAAGCAGCGCCCCCAGCATGTTGCGGTGGAGGCGCCGTGCCACTGGGTCCAGGTGCATCACTGGCCGCGGAGGGACGGTGCACCCAGTTGCTTGCACGCACCCACCATGTCACCACCTCACTCAAATGCACGCACCCACCATGTCACCACCTCACTCAAATGCACCCACCCACCATGTCACCACCTCACTCAAATGCACCCACCCACCATGTCACCACCTCACTCAAATGCACCCACCCACCCACCCACCCACCCATGCATGCTGCCCTCTCTAATCCCACCTGCAGTGTGCCCACGAGCAGCGCCCCCAGCATGTTGCGGTGGCGGCGCCGAGCCACTGGGTCCAGGTGCATCACTGGCCGGGGGGGAGCGGGCGCAGGCTCATGGGCGGGCAGAGGGGGCGCGCCCGGGGAAGTTTGGGGTGCGGAGGCAGGTGCAGGCGGAGGGGGAGGAGCGGTGGTGTCTGCGGGCACGTCGCGAGCGGTGCGGCGCGGTTCGATTGGGTCTATGGGCTCCCCGTCAGGCCCCACCTGCATGCAGACAGGGTGGCGCAGCAGGGGGTGGCGCAGCAGGGCATGTAGAGAGACATGGATGCACATGCGAGCGCAATCAACAAGAGCATGTTGGACATGAGCATTGCAAACCTGCTCCAACCAATCCTCTCATGCCTTCCTGCCACTCCTGGCTGGCACACTGCTGCCAGCTTAATTTCGTGCCACACACACGTTTATCACCTCCCCTTCCCTTCTCCCTTTTCCCTACTTCCCTCCCCCCACCACCTCCCTTCCTCAACCCACATCAATTCACCATCCACTCTCCTTCCCTCCACTAATCACGCAGACTTCACCCCCCACCCCCCATTCTCTCCCTCTCCCATATCCCCCATCCCCCAATGGCCTACCCGAGTTACTGCTGACATCAGCCGCCGTCTCTTGGTGCCCCCTGACACGTCACCATCCGGAAACGTCGCATCGGACTGCAGCAAGGTGGGAGGGATGGGAGAAGGCGGGAAATGCGGGACGGGAGCAACGGGGAAGGGGGGGAGCGGCGGGGAAGTGGGAGAGAGGCCGGGAAGGGGGAGAGAGGTGGGGAAGGGGGAAAGAGGCCGGGAAGGGGGGGAGAGGCGGGGAACGGGGGGAGAGGCGGGGAAGGGGGGGAGAGGCGGGATGAGTGCGTGTGACTGCAGCACAGGGTGGTTGCTGGAGCAGCGGCTGGATGGAATGATGTACAAATGGGATGGGAGAGAGCGCACACACGGCGGGCGCATGGGGGTAGGGCAGGACCGCGCACAGACGGCCAGCCGGGCCAGAATTAAGAACCAGTGTTTCCGCCCCACCCCATCCCACCCCTCCCCACCTGACTGCGCCGCGTGAACGACAGCCCGCCTGCGCGACCGCCGCCAGCGCCGCCAGTGGGGTCGGCGGTGCTTCCGGGGAAGGGGAAGCGGCGGGGCCCGCGGGGATGCTGTCCGCGGATGGCGGGGGGAGCGGGCGGCAGCGCGCGCCTTATGCTGGGCGGAAGGCGCGAGTTAATTGTGCGCAGACTGTCCTCCACCTGCGGTGCGCGCGGAGGCACGCGCGGGCAGGGGGGAGCGGGGAAGAGGGCGGGCGAGAGGGGCTGATTGGAGGGAGGAATCGACGAGTCAGCGAATGACGGCGCGGGAGTGGCGAAGAGCTGAGACCGCAAGTGGCGAAGAGCTGAGACCGCAAGTGGCGAGCGGGGAAAGGCGCGGCGGGCGGGGCACGTACGAGCCCGCCTCGACGAGCGCGCGCACCTGCGCCTGCTGCCGTTCGATTTCTTCGATCTCGCGCCGCAGCTCGTCCTCCGACTTCCCGCCGCCCACCGCCACCGCCGATCCCGCCATGGCGCCCGCACCGGCGACGTTTCTTGCGACGCCGATAACTCCTGCGACGGCAGCGATTCCTGCGACGAGGCTTCCTCTGGCGCAACAACCCTACCTAGATCTGCCGCGATCGGCGCGCAAACAGGCTGTGACACCAGCACGACACGGGGAATGGTCCAGCGGAACTCGGCGAAATTGCACCCTTGTGATTTCACGCGCACGCAGTCTCGCCACATCGAAGGGAGGCTCAAGCTGCACCCATTCGCAAATCGCGAGGGTAGTATGTTTTGATACTTTTTTTTAAGAATAGTATCAGGGATTCGTGACACTTATGTCTCAATCAAACTCATATATATGCACAAACCAGGCAAAATAACTACGCTCCATACAATTTACAACCAGCACAAAAGCAGATGCCCTAGGCTAAGGAACCACGTGGGTTACTACCACACTCACAGTGCCACCACAGTGCCAGACTGCCAGTGCGCGCCAGAGCTACGGTAAAAATGAGCAGGCAGGAGCATCAGATGAGGTCGGCGACATTCATTGGCATTTCGTCGATCTGTGTGCTGTAGTACTGCTCTATGTCGCGCAGAATACGGATGTCATCACTCCTCACAAAGTTGATTGCCACGCCCTGCAGCACCGCCAGTCAGTGCACACGGGGGCAAAAAGGGGCACCAAAAAATGGGTTGGGATGGCTTGAGAGCGGAAGGAGGGGGAAGATGCAGAGCGAGGGGGGTGACGGACGGGAGAAGTGGGGAAAGAAGCACGAGTGTGAGGAATGGGGTAGCATGGTTGGGAGACAGGAACGGCGCCAAGGGCTGTGCAGGGCGGGCAGTGGCTGTGCAGGGGGGCCTGTGGTGGCACTCACCTTTCTGCCGAAACGACCGGAGCGGCCGATGCGGTGAATGTAGAGCTCTCGACTGTTGGGGAGATCGTAGTTGATCACCAGTGACACCTGGGCTTGAGGGGGAGAGGGGAGCACAGAGGCAGCAGCAGAGACACACAGTGAGGGTGGAGCACAGTGGCAGCAGCCCATACTCAGCAGCCCACACTCAGCAGCCCACACTCAGACACATGCAGTGGATGTACAGCTCTCGACTGTTGGGCAGATGGTGGTTGATCGATCACCACTGACACGTGCAGTAGGCAGTGAAGGCCGGCAGAAGCACTGTGTGTGAGCATGGCGTGGTGACTCATGCCACAGCACACCCCATGGATTCCAGGTTACAAGCCCATCCAGGCAACACGCATGCACTGCACTGCCTCCACACCACTGCACTGCCTCCACACCACTGCACTGCCTCCACACCACTGCACTGCCTCCACACCACTGCACTGCCTCCACACCACTGCACTGCCTCCACACCACTGCACTGCCTCCACACCACTGCACTGCCTCCACACCACTGCACTGCCTCCACACCACTGCACTGCCACCACACCACTCCATCCCTCTTTTTCTCCCCAGCCCCTTGATCTCGTCCACATGGACCTCTGGGGCCCCAATCCTTCCCCCACCAGGCAAGGTCATAAATACCTGCTCATCCTGGTGGATGACCACAGCCGGTACTCCTCAGTCTCCCTCCTTCGCACGAAGGCGGAGGCCCCGGCTGCTATTATTGCCTGGGCTGACCAAGCACGCACCCATTTCAAACGCCCTGTCTCCCGCTTCCACTCGGATGGCGGTGGTGAGTTCCTTAATAACATGCTCTCATCCTACTGCACCACTCATGGCATTATTCACACCTACACCCTACCTCATTCCCCTCAGCAGAATGGCGTGGCGGAAAGCAGGGTCCGTGAGGTCACCAAGACTGCTCGGTGCCTCATGGTCCATGCCTCCTGCCCGCCCTCTCTCTGGGGCTATGCCATCCTTCACGCTGCCATCCTCACTAACCTGTACCCTCATCCCTCCCGGCCCACCACCACTCCCACTGCACTCTAGACGTCCAAAAAGCCCGACATCACCCCCCTGCGCGTGTGGGGGTCCCTGGCGTATGTTCTCGTACACCCTGTCGACCGCTCACGCAAAGCTGGGAAGCTAGCCTCCCGCACTCTCCCCTGCATTTTCCTTGGTCACAACACCTCCTCCCCGGACTATCTCTTCCTCCATCCCCCCTCAGGTCGCCTCATTCGTAGTGGGGATGTAGAGTTCGATGAAGCTCACCCGTACTACACCTCCCCCAAAGTCCCTAACCCCCTCCCTCTAACCACCCGTCCCCTCCTCTGGACTGACACCATTCCCCTCCAACCCCTCTCCCCTCCCCTTCCCTTCTCCCCCCCCCCCACCATTGTCCCCCCTGAACCCCCACCCCCTCCCCCCTCTCCCCCCGCCTCATCAGGAGACATCCTTGACCCCGTCCACCCTCCCTCCCCACCCGCTGCCCCTCCCCCTCCCTCCCCACCCGCTGCCCCTCCCCCTCCCTCCCCACCCGCTGCCCCTCCCCCTCCCTCCCCACCCGCTGCCCCTCCCCATCCCTCCCCACCCCCTCCCCCTCCTTCCCCTCCCTCCCTCCATGCACAACATCCCCCACCTCCCCCCTCCCCACCCCCTCCCCCTCCTTCCCCTCCCTCCCTCCATGCACAACATCCCCCACCTCCCCCCTCCCCACGCCCTCCCCCACTCACTCCACCACAATACTCCCGTCCCTTACTTCCCACTCCCCCTCTCATACTCCGCCACTACCCTCACACCCGCTCCACGGTCCCCATTCTTGGTACCACAAGGTCCACACCCCCCTCCCTCCACTCTCTCACATCTATCCCCCTTCTCCGCCACCATAGCACCTCCCCTCTCCCCCGCACCAGCCCCTCAGGTTCTCTTAGCAGTCGCGCTCCCGTCTCCTTGCCCCTCACGGCAACTCAGCGAAGCCGAGCTGCAATGCAGCTGTCTCCCCGCCCCGACCCTCAGCGTAGCCGAGCACCAGTGCAGCTGTGTCCCCGCTTCGGCCCGACCCTCCAGCGCAGCTGTCTTGCAACTCCACCGCCCCCTTTTCCTCCTCCGCTCTCTCCGGACCTCTCTGAAGACTCTCACGATGAGCTTCTCTTCCTCCATCTCCTCTCGCCCACCATCGCCCCCGTCGTCCGCACCATGGCTGGCACTACTGTCCTTCTCTTCTCCACCACCCCCACCATCTACGAATCCACCACCTGTGAGCAAGCACTTGCTTGTCTTGACGCACCTCTCTGGATCGAGGCCATGGTCAAGGAGAGCAACGCTTTCATCAGCAATCGCTCCTTTCTCGACGTTCCTCGTCCCTCTAAGCACAACGTGGTCAAAGGCAGGTGGCTCTTCCGAGTGAAACTGCTCCCTGGCAACGCTCCGGTCTACAAGGCTCGATATGTGGCAAAAGGTTTTACACAGACCTATGGCTCAGACTTCTTCGAGACCTACTCACCCACCGCCACCCCGCCGGTCATTCGCGTGTTTCTTGGACTTTGTTGGCAGACGCGGGATGCTCCTTCACTCCATGGACGTCACCACCGCCTTTCTGCAAGGGGACCTTCATGAGCTCATTTTTTTGGAACGTCCCAAAGGCTTCCATGCTCCTCACGACCCTGCCACTGTTTGGAAGCTGCTACGCCCTGTCTACGGGCTCAAACAAGCACCTCGGGAATGGCACGCAAAACTCTCCTCCACCCTTCGCGCACTTGGCTTTCGCCCCTCCCGTGCCGCCTCTTGCCTCTTCCTCCGCCTAAACCCATCACCCTTCTACATCCTCGTCTACGTCGACGACATGCTGCTGGCCGCTGACACAACTGCTGAACTCCAGGAGGTCAAGGATGAGCTGCAGAAACGCCTCGCCTGCAAAGACCTGGGGGAGGTCCGCAACTACCTCGGCATGGAGATCACCCGCGACCTCACCGCCAAGACCATCTCCCTCTCTCAGTCTTTTTACATCGAGAAGATTCTTGAGAGGTTTGGCATGTCCGGATCAAAACCCATCTCCACACCACTTGCATTTGGGCATCGGCTCTCCCCTCCCACCACTCCCGTCACCTCCCCTCATCCCTATGTAGAACTTGTTGGGGCCCTGATGTACGCCATGGTCTGCACTCGTCCCGACCTTGCATACCCAGTCAGTGTTCTGGCGCAGTTCGTTGGCACCGGCCGGAATGGTGACGAGCATTGGAAGGCGGCCATGCGTGTTCTTCGCTATCTTCAAGGCACGAAGGACCATGTCCTCACTCTTGGTGGTGTGAACCCACCCATTCTTCACGGCTTCAGCGACTCTTCCTGGGCCGATGCACAACCCGACCGTCGCAAGATGGTCACATCACCGTTCGCAAACTTATGGATTTCTGTAGGTTAAGGGGTTGTGTCAGATTGCCATCCTCATTGTAACCTACATCAATCCTATAAGCGTAGGATAGAGATAGCCACTCAGACTTAGTTTGGGTGTAGAACTAGGGCTAACCCTAGTTGGGGATTGGAACTCAAACCTTGGCCCCCAAGATTGGGTTGTGTTTTATTGGTCCCCCCAATAATGTTGAACCACTTGGTCAACATTATTGGTCCCCCCAATAATCCCTCAACCCAACTTATTGGTGGGGGCCAATAATGTTGGCTTGGTTCCAACCAACCCCCCCTCCCCTTTAGCACTACTATGTATACCCCAATCTCTCCTAATGAAACCAATGGTTCTTTCTCACGTTTTCTCACATCCACACCACTGCACTGCCTCCACACCACTGCACTGCCTCCACACCAATCACTCTCTTTCCACACGCTCTCATGCACCTCGCCCACACGCCCTGGTGATCCCCGCACAGCCTCCTAGACCCACGCCTCCCCGCCACCCGCTGCATCACACACTAACACCGGCTTGCATGCTCCTCCCCCCCACGCGCCTGCTGCACGTCGATGCCTCTGGTCCACATATCAGTGGTAATCAGCACGAGTGGTGCCGGCACGGAAATCAGTCATGATGGCATTGACACCGTGCCCCCTTGCACATGGCACCAAGCATACCGTGGTTAACCCATTCAATTCAGCACACAAAATCCCCCTCCCCCCCCCCTCACCCCCCCCCCCTGTGCTCCCCCCCTCCCTGTTACTTTCATCCCCAACCCCTCAACGCACCTGCTGCACGTCAATGCCTCTGGCCCACACATCAGTGGTGATCAAAACACGAGTGGTGCCGGCCCTGAACTCAGTCATGATGGCGTCGCGCTCCTTCTGAGGCATGTCGCCGTGCATGGCGGACACGGTGAAGTTGTTAGCGCGCATCTTCTCCGTCAGCCAGTCCACCTTGCGCTTCGTGTTGCAGAAGATCACCGCCTGGTGGGGGGAAGGGGGAAGGGAGAAGGGCGCATGGTGGGGATGGATGGGTATTACAGGGAGCTTTCATTCACTTGAACCCCATCTTCTCCGTCAGCCAGTCCACCTTGCGCTTCGTGTTGCAGAAGATCACCGCCTGGTAGGGGAAGAAGGGCACATGGTGCGGTGCGGTGGGGGTGGGTGGGTATGAGCGGAATTTTGTGCCAC